CCAGCATGCTGTACTTCATCTTACATTTACCGTATTAGGAAACATTTATTGGTGTAAAATGGAAGAGAAACAACCAGTGGCAGTAGCTGCAGGGACAACTCACTAGTTAGTTCAAACCGTTGCCCTCCTGAAATGAATTTTTATTATATGTTCTCTCTCTCCACGTATATCCTGAGGTTTTGTGTGGCCTCTCTTTACTCTTTCACCCTTTCACCTTGGAAACTAGTCAAGGCTTTTAACCTTACACCTGCCTCTGACCACGGGTAAGGTTTAGTCCCAGATGTAGCACTACACCCAGATGGTGCAACAGGAAGTGATGCTACGAAGGCTTTAAAGTGCATTTTAGCAACAGCTGGTACAACCAGCCTCAGAGAACTACTTCAGGGTAGGCGTCTAGTGTTTAGAGGACTAGTTAAGGTTAAATTTCCAGTCTTCAGTGGACTGGTTCATGTCAGGTCTCAGTTTTCTAGGGGGGTAGTTCAGTTCTGCAAGGAACTAGCTTAGGCCAAGTCTCTAGACTTATGTAGAGTAGTTCAGGTTATGTTTTTAGTCTTCAGAGAACTAGTTCAAGTCTTAAGTGTACTCTCTGGAGAACTGGCTCAGATCAAATGTCTAGTCCTCAGTGGCTAGTTCAGGTCAGATCTCAGTTTTCTAGGGGGCTAGTTCAGTTCTTCAAGGGACTAGTTTAGGCCAAGTCTCTAGTCTTATGTGGACTCGTCCAGGTTATGTTTTCAGTCTTTAGAGAACTAGTTTAAGTCTTAAGTCTTCAGTGGACTCTCTGGAGAACTGGCTCAGGTCAAATGTCTAGTCCTCAGAAGTCTAGTTCAGGTTGCCAGAGGACTAGTTTAGGGAAGTCTTCCTGGCACACTGCAGTCCTTGTGAACATGCACTGAGCAGCGGTGCACTGAGAGCGCACTGATGCCGGTTCAGTGTATCAGTAACTCAGTGAGCAGGACATGATGTCAGTGTGGTGCCTGGTGCTCGCTGCCTCCAACTGTGAGCAGTGACGTTAAAGCAGATTATCCACGGGGACAGACAGCAGAGCAGAGCGGCCTCATGAGTGAACAGCAACATAAGCTGATCAGAGGTAGGACACATACATTTATACACTGCTTCTTGTCTGTCTGTCTGTCTGTCTGTCTGTCTGCCTGTCTGTCTGTCGACTGCAGTCAAACTGTCCCTAAACTCCTCGTTTGTCTTTAATTTTACCCACATGTGAGTTGCCATATTTTCTGACCCTCTAAAGCTGGACTGACTGTGAGGAGATTAAAAGAAAATGTTCACAGTTTATTAAGTCTGTCTTCAAATAACAATTAGTTGCTCATATGGGCTGTAAAACAGGATTTGTTTGCTGGAATCATTGCTCCTGTTTTTACTGGATGTTTTGGGAAATCCCTTCTTCCGGTGTGAGCGAGTGAGCAATACTATGTTGTAAAGTTTACCCGTCAAAAGAAATACCCATTTTTCACAACTACAGTCTTTCATATTTTACATTACAACTTCCTGTTTGTGATAATAAACTAGTGTTTCCTGCCTAATTTCAGCCCCAAACGAGTTTAGTTGAGAATCAGAATGAACATCTCTCTGGTTAGTTGTTGTCCACGGTGCAGTTTTAAGTCACACTTAATTACCTAAGTGCCTTTTTAAGTTGAATCTGTTTGGACTTGTGCCGGGTTGGAGACGCTGGCCAGCTGCAGCTTGATCAGGTCATTGATCTGCTCTCGCTGGTCCTAATAAAATGTTTCCTCATGATTGCTGAGATTTCTAATGTGATGTGCTGTTACATGCTTCTGCTTTTGTGCTTTTGTTTAATCCAGACCTCAAAAATGTGTTTCATTGAGCTGTGGGTTCATAAATCTGCAAACAAGCTGCTGAATGTGCTTAATTACCGTATATTCATATATGTATAAGACTGATATGCTGAGGTTTAGCACACGCTTCCTTTACAGTCCAAACATACAGATTTGAAGTACTTGAGTATTCCTGTTATACGATACTTTTTACTTCTGCTGAAGTACATTAGACAGCTTCATGTCAGCACACAAAACATGCAACGTCTTGATCAAGCATGATAATTTGCCATAAATTAAACTACCCGGCGGCACATTAAAGTCAAATGATTGGCTTTATTTCGTATTTATCTTTTTAATCGTTTGCAATATTTGGAATATTTGATGGAAAAAATTAGCATTAGTACTTTGATGTTTGGGTAAATCAAACTAAACCAAGCAATCCATCAGTTATATCAGAAAATTAGCAGGAGATTACTCACTACACAGCTAATCACTGCCTGCAGCTGTTGAACCAATTACAACAGGAAAAATGCTGTGATGAAGTAGATGTGCAGCACTCACTTACACTTTTAATACTTTGGGTACATTGTCCTGATAATAGAAAGAAAAAAAAAAATACAAAACTACATTTATAAAAGCTGCATCTCTAAACCTGCATCAGAGCGGACATGACGTCTGTCCCCTGTGTGTCCTTGTCCAGGGGCCGTCTCACTGACTGGACTCTACCTGGTGTACGGATATGGTGCCGCCCTGCTCTGCAACCTGATTGGTTTCGTCTATCCTGCTTATTATTCGTAAGTTTTTCTCATTTGCTTGTAGTGATTTCTTCTGCTAATCATCCAGAGGGGGAATCTTTTTGATTTCATTTTCACATGTAGTGTCAGGCGACTGTTGGATCCTTCAAACGTTATGACGGATGTGACGCTGAAATTCGGCTCAGAGGGTCAAACTCACCAAATTCATAGCTAAAAATGTATGTAGAGAAGAATTTTAAGCTGTACAAGGATTCAAGGCTCAGTGGGCTTAATTTCACATGATTTCACTGAAATGAACTGGGAGTTGATATGAAATGACCCAAAGAGTTTTGTTCCCCTAAACCACATTTTAAAATGTTCTCCCGCCTCCCTCTGGAAGGTTAATCCTGTCTGAATGGATCAGGTGCAGTGGTGCAGGTGTAATCATGGTATTAGAAACATAAATGCATTTCAGCTTTGTTTTTAAACCCTCTGGCTCTCTGCAGAATCAAAGCTATCGAAAGTGTGAGCAAAGAAGACGACACCAAATGGCTGACGTACTGGGTGGTGTACGGCGTCTTCAGCTTGGGCGAGTTCTTCTCCGACATTTTCCTCTACTGGTTCCCGTTCTACTACGCTTTTAAGGTGAGGAACAAATGACAGGTGCCAAACGCCCTTCTGTGCAGCAGCTGCTCCGTGGAGGTCAGCATCCACAGTGTGTGTTGTATAAATATATATTAAACATTCCCTTTTCTCTGTTGAATTACTCTCAAAGTATTGAAATAATTATTTATTTGTAGCGTTTATTGCTTTGCCACTGCTGCACTAGACTACTCTACATAAACTCTTTAGTAAATGAAACAATGACCGTTATTTCCATTACATACTAAACACATATTTTCCCCAATATCTAAGTCTTACAGTATCATTGTTCTGATATTGCCAGATTCTAGACAATCTCTACTATTATGAAACTCTATCTCTACTGCCGGCATCCTATGGTAAGATCCATTAAGAAAAAGCTTAAAATATCATAAAAATCAGCAATTATTATTATATCAAAAGATCTGAAAAACCTAGACTGTTCTGAAAAAAAAAACAATATATAACACGTATGGCTAGTCTTATAATGACCAAGATAAGAGCTTAAAAGTAAAGCAAGTGAAATTACCATGAATATAATAAAGGGCTAATAGAGCTAACCCAAACTAGAGTTTGCAGCTCTTAGTAGTATTAACACTTTATTATATATATATTATATACTTTATATATATGTTAAAAATATGTGAAATTACAAGTTTATAAGAACTTCCACAGCTTCCACAGCTTCCACAGAAACAACTTTTTCTGAGGTTTCACTGAATAACAAAAATGGTTTTGGCTTGTTCAGAATGTATTAAATGTCCTTTATTTAATGCAGGTAAATAAATCAAGTTGTCACTGGTATACGTCTTTATGGTACAAGTTATTTCTTCAGGGCTGCAAGGTGGCTCGGTGGTTACCACCATAGACTCGCAGCTAGAAGGTTCGCATCCCGGTGAGGACACCTGGAATCTTTCTGCGTGGAGTTTGCATGTTCTCCCCGTGCAGCATGGGTTCTCTCCGGGTTCTCCGGCTTCCTCCCACACAGTCCAAAAACATGTTGAGGTTAATTGGTGATTCTAAATTGTCCGTAGGTGTGAATGTGAGTGTGCTTGGTTGTCTGTCTCTAAGTGTAGCCCTGTGATAGACTGGTGACCTGTCCAGGGTGTCTCCTGCCTTCACCCTGAGTCAGCTGGGATAGACTCCAGCCCCTCGCGACCCTAGTGAGGATGAAGCGGTGTATAGATGATGGATGGATGGAAGTATTTTCTTCAGCAGAAGCCATTACCATTGGTGCTGAGGAGTCAGTCAGTGTTAGGTAGAGGAAGTCAGGAGGAAACTGTTGCTAAGACAAAGAGTTAAACAAAACTAAACAAAGTAAATATGATTTTATATGGAGTTCTACCTGTTTCACCTCTCCAATATCAGCCAGGCTAAAAGAGCTGAAATAAACTGATCCAGTAAACTCAATAATCCACACTGGCCTGTCCTCCGTGGTTCCAGTGTCTCTTCCTGTTGTGGTGCATGGCCCCAATGACCTGGAACGGCTCCCAGATCATCTACAACAAAGTGGTTCGGCCCATCTTCCTCCGCCACGAGGCCACGGTGGACAACATGGTCAGCGACATCAGTGGGAAGGCCATGAGCGCCGCCGAGAACCTGACCAGAGAAGGTATGACCATGCCGAGATCACCGTTGAGCGCTCTCATGCTAGTTTTAATCATCCTGTGTCTTCCTCCTCAGTGCTGTCCACTCTGGTGAAGAGTAAATCCCTGGTGACGCCGGCGGCACCCGACACTAAAAGTTTACCGAGCTCATCAGGAGAAACATCGTCAGCTAAAGTTGGTCCGTCGCTGCCGAGTGAAGAACAAAGAGTAAGAAATCATATCTGCTTTACCTTCTCCCAGTCTGCCCACCTTAAACCAGTCCCAGTAAAGCTGCCTGAACCAGTTTACTGCAACTTGGAACAATTATGCGGCTTGGAAATTGAGCCAAGTTGTAATAAATTGGGCTTTAACCCCCTAATGTGTCCTTATAGAGACAGACAGTGTAGAGGTTCCCTGTATTCAGGTCTGTTCTGGCCTGCTGTCTGATGGTTCTGGATGAGTTCTGCAGTCTGGGTCCGAGATGAACTGATTGGTTTCAGACTGCAGGATGTTTCTGTTTCTGTGTCAGATCAGCTGACTATTGAGTCCTTTTCTTATCTTAATATAGTGTCTGATATCGTCCAGTATAACTCAGCAGATCAGCTGTGCTCTTGCCTGACATCATGTTTGCAGGGTTTAAGGTTTGGTTCTGATTGTCAGGTCCATTTTGGATGTGGCTCCTTGGTTTGTTTCAGATGAATGCTATGAATTGATCAGCTCCTTCAATACAGCATTGAGTCCCACTGACATAGCTTTTTACAGCTGATCAATATCTGGAGCTCATTCAGCTCAGAGCTGAGAATCAGGACCTCTGTTATCCAGAAATCAGGTAGTTTGTGAAACAACTGGAAAAAATAAGATCGAAGATGTATGATTCATATTTATAGACTTTTTTTTTTTTTTTAACATTCTGAGACATTTTATATATACACATATATATTTATTTCAGTTTAAGTATGTCTTGGATTTGAAACTATTACACACAAAAACATTGAACCCAAATAAGCAGCTGTTTCTGCTCATATGATTCTAGAAGCAGGCTAATGAACAAGTCATCACACATTGGAGACAACCTGCTGTGTGTGTGCTGGTTATGCTGACGGAAAAAATATAAAGAAGCTGTGTTTAAATTACGTGTTTGATTGAGATGTTATAGATCCGTCCCTCCTACACAGCGTTAGACCCTGTGTTTCCTTCAGCTCCCCTTCATGAACTGTTTGTATACGAGATCAGGGGTGAACTCTGACCTTTTGCTAACCCTGCTGTTGTGTTACTGTTCCAGCCTTTTCTGGGTTGACCGGTTTGGTAAGTCGGCTGGTTTGGTGTTAGAATAGTGGCGTGTTATTCACCAGACAGTGAATGTGATGTGGAGACAATTAGCATGAGACCTCGTAGGTCTGTCTTGTTTCTATGTGTGTCTGAAGGTTAAACTGCGTTCTTCTTCAGTGGTGCTGGGCTGCAGGTGGAGCTGACAGGATCCTCCTTCCACTGTGAACACCTGAACAGCTTCTAGTGCTCCCCTCCCCTTTTTTCAAGCTTCTCTAATAGCCCTCTCCCAACTTTACCTGCTGATCTTTGTAGATCTGATGGGTCACTTTTGGTTTTTAAAATCAGAACAGCTGGCTCCATTATTTCAGTGAGCCTGATGCCATCCTGCCAAACTGTAATCTGGTAGAGAAAGAGCAGGAGGCCTTATCTTGATCTCTGTGGGACGCCATTATTAACAGTTTGGGTTTTGGACTTGAAGCCACCAGTTAAGTTCATCAGCTCGGAGAAAACAATCTGGGCTGATGTCGTTTCAGTTTGTCTATCAGCACACATTCAAGTTACAAAATGAAATCAAGTTTTTCTAAAAGTTATTTTACCAGGTGGTTGTTTTAGCGTCAGATTCCCCAAAAATGATTATAGTTTTATAGTCTAGATATTTTTAAATAGTTTTTTTTTAGCAGTTAAAAGATGTTTCCTTTAAAGTTTCTTGTTTCTAACTGTTGGTTGTGTCTGTTGTTTGTCTGCACATCAGGAGGAACTTAGTGTAGACTGACGGTAAGTTGGTCATGCTAGATAGATAGATAGATAGATAGATAGATAGATAGATAGATAGATAGATAGATAGATAGATAGATAGATAGATAGATAGATAGATAGAACTTTATTGATCCCTTTGGTAGAACCTCAGGGAAATGGTTGACAAGCTTTAAAAAGCACAAAGGCTAAATGATTATTTCTTCATCACATAGTTTTTTTTTTTGATGATTGTCTAACATCAGTGCCTTCGTCTCTACATTTGATGTTGTTGTTATTTCACAGATGTTTTTACTTCAATGGTCGTGGACTTGAACGTTAAATATGTTAAAATATGTTTAAATATGTTTTACTTTTGTTACGTAATAAAGAAGACTATCGTAACATCGGTAATATCGTTATCGGTGATATCAAAAATCTCAATATCAGTTATCGGTATCGGCCAGAAATTTTAATATTGTGCGTCACTGATCTGCTTTAAAGTCTCAGTTTTTAATCTTTAATCCTAAAATCTAAAAATAAGAGCAATTTCTAAAACTTTTATTTTGCAGACTGCTTCATCAGAAACCAGTAAAATAACTTTTGTTTCTTTGCTGTTCCTCAGTCTGTCAGATAGCAGCGGAGGAAGAAGAAGAGGAGCCTCAGTGAGGAAGAGGAGGACAGAGCGAAGGTTTCCTCTTCATCCTGACAGCATCGCTCCTGTCACAAAGACTGATTATCTTTTTGTTTTCTTTTTTTTCTTTTCTACCAGATGTTTTATTTCTGTCCTATTCTGCAGCAGGAGTTCATGGAAAAAAATGTCACTGGCACAGAACATCTCTTACAACTGTTTCCTGTTTACTTAAAATTTATTTATATTATTTATAATTTATATGATTTTTAACATCAGCAGTTGATTTATTTATTTACTTTGATGCGAAGCTCCTCAAACTGGCTCATGATTTACTCACTAAGTCATGAACTAACAGACCTGAGCTGTTGTCAGCTGTTCTTACTGTCCTGATTTAGAGACCACATCCAGGACCTGGGGCCCTGGTACCGCAGCTCATTGTAGCTTGCCGTGATCGTATAGTGGTTAGTACTCTGCGTTGTGGCCGCAGCAACCCCGGTTCGAATCCGGGTCATGGCAGATGGGCTGTATTTTGTGAATTTGCCTGGTGAGGGATCAAAAAAAGTTGATCTTATCTCATTATTTTTTAATCTGAGAGGTTTTACGTGAGTGGAGTGACCCTTAGCAGTGTAATGGAACGAGCTGCAGACCACCTGCCTAATGCCTGTAGTTTGGAAATTCATTCATAAGCTCAATTCACACATGACCTGATGATTTAGAAACTATCATCCACATTTTTGTTTTGTGGGATGTTTGCACAGAATAAGCAAAGTCTGCGTTTTACTTGAAATTGTTATCTGTGGATGTGAGATTAACAGGCAGCTAAAAACATAAAGTGTTGAGCCAGTTTAAAGACAGCAAAATGTTCCCAACTGCATGCTGCCACGTGTCATCTGCCTAATTATCCTGAGAGGTTTTGCTCTTCTGATGGATTTGAGTTTTCTGTAAATGAGTCTCTCACTCATGAGCCACAATGAAAATGCTCCAAACCTCCTTTTACAGTCACCAACTCCATAACTCTGCACCAGGAAAGAACCAGAAGAAGGTGTGGAGAAACCCAACCTTAAATCACAGAGATGCTCACAAGGGATCAATATTATCGCAGGACATCGGTGTTTGATGGAATATGGTTGACAATTTGTGCTGGAATTTTTACTTTACAAATTATGAACATGGAAAAAAAAAACAGGAGAGGACCCCAAGTAACACTAGTGCTGTGTATTTTTTTTGTGAATCAGTAACTATTTTATTAACTAATACTGATGCATTGCAATATGAATAGTACACATATTACAGTTTAAGTCCTCCGACCAGCAGGGGGCGATGATACTCATCTGATGATGGACGTCTGAGGGGCTGCAGTCGGACCCTCAACAGATTTCTTTAGAGTGAGAGTTACAGCTTTACTGCTCTATAGCTGCTGCTTGTTTATTTATTTACTTACTTATTTATCCTGTGTGTGCACGCTTCATCTGCTATACCGAATATTTCTGAGTCAACCCATTTTGGGTGTTTCGCATCAATTACTTTGGGTTTTGTTTTTGCCTGTTAAATTTGTTGTTTGTATATTTAGTTAGTTTTTTTTTTTGTAAATGAGATTATACACTAAAAATCACTGGGTTGAAAAATGGACCCAGTTTGAATGAATATGGCAAAGACACAGCATTGGATTTACTTTACCTGCTACCAGTGTGTTGTTTATTGTTGGGTTCACTCAGACTGCAGTGTGTTCAGTTTGACTCAGCGTTAGTAGAGCTACAACAGGTCATATTTCCATAGTTGACCAAGCTGTTGATTGTTAATCTGTTGTTTGATCTATAAAACATCAGAAAAAGCTGAACAATATTGATCAGCGTTTCCTTGGTGATGTCCCAGATCACATCACCAGAAGTCTGGTTTTGTCCACAACTCAGAGATAATCAGTTCACAGTCAGTATTCACGTGTAAATATTCACATGCAGTCAGAGAATTTAGATTTTTTTCTTAAAAAATGACTCACAGATTAGTTGATTCTAAACATACTTGGCCCTTACTGTCGTAGTTGACTGCTACATTTTAATTTTTTAAGTGTTATTTTCATGTTATCATTGACAATGTTAATAAAGGTCTTTGACCTGACAGCTGTCCCAAATGAACTCCTAGTTGTACAAAATGATCTGCATGTGACATTCAAAACTCACAAAAAAGAGAAATTATAACCTAATTAGTACAATATTATTTTTATCTGAGTGAAAACCCAATAATAGAATCAAAATAACACTAAGACAGGATCTAAAAATCTCTTTGACTTCATGGGTAATAATCTTTACTCTTTGTATATTTTACCCTGGGATGTCTTAATGCTATTTCCTGTCAAACTGGACCAGTTCTGACGCAGTGATTTTTAGTGCATATGGCATTATTGATATTTGATGATCGCATTGTGACAAGAAATAAAACCTGTTCATCAGAATCAAACGAAATGTTCCAGCGGCTCTGTACTGCAGGATGAAGCTCAGATTAAAGCATCATAAAACACATGTTTGGACAATAATGAAAAAAGTAGAATCAAAATGTGTCTCTTCACTGATAAATAATCAGGTGTCTCCGTTTGGACGTAAATAGACTCGTTAATGCTTCTAATCAAAAAATTTTTTCTTAAAATCAAAAAAGATCCTGCCGCTACCTGGGGGCGTGGCCGACGTGCTGACGTAGATAGTGACACGTTGACGTCCGCATACGTACAGTCGACCTGCCCTGTTGTCCATTAGCATTGTTTGCTAACTAATCTGAGCGTTTTCTAAAGAATTTGCTCTTTTTTTTGCCGCTAGTCGAGTGTAAGTTACAGCAGACGGGTTGAACAGCAGCTGAGATCCAGCGGAAGGTTTCAGTCAGACGGATTAACTACGGTAAGAACTGTGGAAGCAGCTGGAGCTAATGATTCCGTTAAAACATAGTGCCGAATTCCGTTCAACAACTGAGGAAATTGAAACAAAATCTATTGCCGACAAGTTACTGCTTGTCCCTATCCTTAACAAATACATCTTCGTACTCCTCTGGACGACTTTTAAAATTCGGCTTGGAAATATTTCATCGGGCTGCAGCACATTATCACGTTAATCCTGATTTAGCTACCTGGTTAGCCTGCTGTCTGCGGTGTGTTTGCTGGACTGTGGCTGACAGAAATAATTAGCTCAAGTTAGATCCGTGTGGATATGAATACCTCTTGCTTAGTTTGATGTATGCCGAATTCAAGAGCAACCTGTAGCAATTCCGGATTGTATTTTTCCATGTTCTTCTACCTGTATGCGATCACAAAAACACGGTGTAACCTTAAAGTAGTAAATGCATTAACAGAAGTCTGGAGAACGATTTTAAGACGCACCGCTGTTGTTTGGATTAGCAATGCAAAGTGAATACATACTCAACTAAAACGTAAATAAAGAGTTAAGTCTTGTCAATGGTGGATATTATTGTTGGAAATAAAGCAGAAGCAGAGTCAGTTTATTCATGAAACACAACAGCTGATCATTTTTCCTCAGGTAAACCTTTAACCTGCACCTGGTTGGTGTCTCAGGTGAAGCAGGTGGAGCTCAGCCTCCAGCACAATGAACCTGGGCTCTAAAGGGAAGAAGCGGGTGGTGCTGCCCAGCCGGCCTGAGCCCCCCACTGTGGAGCAGATCCTGGAGGACATCAGCAGAGCTGCTCCTGATGATCCGGTGTTCAGCATCCTGGAGCAGACTGGACAAGGTGAGTCCACACAGAGAGGCAGCCTGCACAGTGACAGGGCCCATGGCTTGTATGTGAGACCATTACTCACATTAAGGTGGCACAATGTCCCCTAAATTTATGTTTCACAGAATCTCTTTTGATCCATAGTTTAGCAGCTGTTGACCTGTAATATACTGGCTGGTCGGCCTGTAGTTTACTAGCTGCTGACACATAGTTTACGGCCTGGTTGATTCTTAGTTTACCAGCTGTTTTCCTGTACTTTACTGGCTGTTGACCCACAGTTTGCTGGCTGCTGACCTGTTAGTTATTTACAGATTGACCTGTAGCTAACTCTCAGGTTGGCCTGTCGTTGATCACCTGTTTTTCCCTCAGACTTGACCCGTCCTGCCGACAGCGAGGTGGAGCTCCGGTTCCAGCAGTGCCGTCGCTTCCTGGAGCTGAACAAGCAGCTGCAGGACGCTCAGAGTCGGCTGCAGCAGCAGAGGGAGGAGCTCCAGGCGGCGGGAGAGCAGCTGGACAAAGATGTGGCCGAGGTCAGAGGTCAAACCCTCTGACCCGTCGACCCGCTTTCACAGACTCTGTTCTTCTCTGTCGGGACGATTTACCTGAACTGTTTTCTACCAGCCTGAATCAGGAGTGAACCAGACTCTGGTGGAGCCTGAAGAGCCTCCATGGCCTCAGAACTCAAACATGGTCCTTCACAATAAAAGCCTCCTGCTCCGTGACCAGGCAGAAGCTTTTAATGTGAAGCAGCAGAGAGTGCATGCTTTGAATCAGTCGTTTTATTCCACTAAGAGTAAACAAGAAAGAACACTGACAATATATTAAAAATACATTTTTTTGTCTGATGACTTTATCAATAACTGAAAATTGGAATAAATTTTCCAGAATACTGACAGTATTGCATACTTGATACGTCAATATCACAATATAAAGTTAGCGTACACTGCTCCTGCTGCAAACAGTAATAACCTTTGATAATTATTTTGTACTTTAAGTTTTGATTCAGTGATTTCAAAATAAATCCATTTCCACAGTAGAAAGTGATGTTAAAGCTTTTTTTCCCTTTGAAAACATGAACCATTCCTGTAATAAAGGCAGATTTTCCTGTTTGCAAAGTTGTAAAGGTGAGTGTTTAATTAGGGTTATGATTAAACTCAGCGATCAGAAGTGAGGAGGGATATTTGATCAGTAATTTAAAAGCCTTGTTGCTCATGAAGTGCAGAGTGAAGGTTTGTTGAGACTGTATGAGTCAATGTCCGTCCAGAACGTTGCAGCAGACGGCACGAAACGTCTCGGTGGACAGATGGTTAAGTCCATGTTTAAAAATACAACTTGCAGATCTTAGTCTGAGAACTTCTCAACATTTATCCTCCAGTGCTGATTGGCTGTCACGCGTGACCAGTCGGTTGATGCTGTTGGCAGAACATTAGTCGAGACCAGACGACAGATGGAGAGGCAGCTGCATCAGAGCAAAGGTTCATAGATGAATTTATTTTATTAGGAGTCAGTACCAGTGAAAATAAAAAATACTAAAAATGGCAAAAATGCTGAATATGAATCCAGTAATCGGTCAACCTTTACTTTGAAAGTGTGATACATGTCGGACTTCACTTCCTGTTTCTATTGTGACTGATTCTTTTTATACAGTAATTAAAATGATGAAAGTGACACTAGTTCAATTGCATGTCATGTGTTTGAGTTTATCCCCTTTATTAATGAACTGGCTCTGTTTTAAAGATGGTCACGTGTTTGTTTGCTTAGATATTTTGAAAATCATTTGGTTTTTTTTATTATCACAAAGTGTTCTTCTTCTGTCACATGACAGTCTACAGTATCTATGACTAAAGCTGTGGAGCTCATCTGATGGAGTGAAGATGGTGACGTCTACTGTACAACAACCATTAAGAACGTTTTATATTAGAACAAATGTAGGAGATACTATAGTATGACTTTTTTTTT